ATCATCCTTGTTACTCGAAGAAGATTTCGCACTCTGTCGCGTATTTCGTGGGTGCTTGGGTGTGTTGGAGTTTTCCTGAAAATGATCTGGTACTTGGAAGTCTACAATGAGATTGATTAACGTTCAAAGACTTTATCCTTGCTTGCATGTGATAATTTAACATTCCTATTTGAGTTGCATTTACGAAAAAATTCCTGAGGGCTAGGTGATAGTGTGTACTACCTTAGCTGAATAATGACGTCAGCTATGTAGGCATGATGTGCAATGAGGTGTTTGTGATGTAATGGCCAAAGATACTGCTCCCCAAGTATGCTGCCTTGGAGAACGAATCCTTTTTAGCTGGACCTTGGCTGCTCCGTGTCAAGCTTATCTAGTGGAAGAATCAGTGTCACAAGAATCGGTTGACATCTTTGGGTTATTACACGAGGTTCATATTCTTAGCAATGCCTACTATGCAGACTCATGGTCAAAGGATAACAGAATACAAAGCGCTTTACCGCATTTCTGAAATCGTAGTACCTCGAGGTGCTATATATGCTTTAATTATAGAGGTTCAGTGGTATTTAATAAAGAGATAGACAGAGGACGAGTTCGGTTGAAAAGGGAAAACAACGTGGTTGCTCAGGGCCGGTTTCAGAGTGAACCGCTTCCTTCAACACTTCAACTTCAGAATATGACAAAATGCTGCTAGACCGGACCATCTCCAATCTTCCCGTTCCATCTTTCAAACATTTTGATACCTGACCATTTGAACCCGCTTTAGTCCTCACATATAGTCCGTGGACATAAGCAAGTTCTACAGTACACAGCCAGAGATCATTGTTTTGGGTAGCTTTGCCATCATCGCTATGCCCGTGGCCGCCTCGAGTGATCGTAGCAGGACCACTTTCTCAAACTACAAAAGTGGAGTAAGAACCTTTCTGTTGCACATTCAGAATGAAAGACCCTGGCAGAACAGATCTGCGCTTCGATGACAACATGTTTTTGTTAATGAAAAGCAGCGACAACACAGGGTGGCAGACTTTGAACTCGATTCCCACGATAACACACATGCACACGGCTGCGATTTCACAACAGTTACCATAGTCGGCCATCGAAGTTGTGCACTCCCACGCGCGGCTGGTACGGCGATCCGTTCAGGTATAGAATCCCACACCCGAAAACCCATACCCAAGATATCCGCGGTGTTGTTAGTTGTATAGAGCCAATGCCGTTCGCGCCATGATTAATGTTATACTAAAAAGCGCACTATTACACAAAAGATGGATAGTTTTCTCTACGGTAAAAAAGTCATGCAAAATACGCTATTCTAGGCAAATGGGAATTGTGTCAGAACAAAAACAGCTACATTTGTATAGCCAGTGCGATCAGCTTCCACTTCAGATGACCAATATATCCTTTCTCTAAGGTCCGGTACCAAAATCGTCCAGTAAAATGGAGGCACGCAAGTCTTTGGGAATTCTCTGGACATTTCAACGGTTTTGCATTCAACAATTTAGTCAAATATAAGGCCTACCCCATAGATATTGAATAAAGCTGGCAATCCACCATCCATGTTCTGCATCGAATTTATAATATTAACGGATAGGCAAACACTGTTCTTGTTAGGGTCAGCCTACTCCCTCAAAAGGTAACGAAAGTCCTGGGACGCCTTTTTCCTAGGTAGCTAAGGAAACTGCAGTCTGATTCGGAATTTGTGATCATCGTCATCTGCTTCTGGGCCAGGTTGCAGTCGATACAGCTTTGAACGAGCCTTCTTTGTTTCCAAAAAGAGCAAAATGTCTATGCCAGTATTTTAGCACTTGAATTAGCCAGGTAAGTAGGGGAGGTAATCAGTAATCCATGCGATAGGTGGGTTCAAGAAGGAAACAGCGTGCAGTTGGCATGAAGGGGAACTCATCTAAGCGTACGTGTGAGATTTCACATGGCCTTTTTGCTTCTGCAAGTCAATGTCCAGCATTTCTTACGGTAGACTGACCCCAATCAAAACCAAACCTTTACATTGTGGATAATAGTATAAGCCACTCAAGGGGAATAGAGGCAATCTCTTAAAATGCCCAAAGGCTGACTCACATCTCCTACTTTGACGCTTATCTTGAGCTCCCCATCAGTTTTAGTGACATGGCGTGCTTGATTGCGACCGCCGCCTCGCCCTCGACCTCGTCGATTGCCGGCGTTCTGTTCCGGATGCACTGTGACTCTTCCTTCCAGGCGACTGCCCTTGTTTGCCTGTAATGCAGGAACACTTTAATTTTCGATAATAGCTAGAATTTCTAGCAAAATCTGTTCACCACAATGAGGCGAATAGCCAACCATGAATATTCTATCGAAAGCTAATCGGTAATAGCATTCAGTTGAGTGGATATTAATTAGGAATGAGCAATGTTCTGTTGAGTTCTGAATTAGACGGTGCCCTCACGCGGAATAAAATCCCGAAAGTATTATGGCTATTCTAAACGCAGGGACCTAGCATCTACATACAGGAGTTGATGGGCGACCAGACAGTGCCAACATAAAAACCCACAATCCGTGCGTTCCAATCCTAGCCGTCCCATTTCCGACATATGGTTCTTTCCCATTCATGGCATAATGGGTGCTGTTATCTCCCCAGTATGATCCTGATCAACAGTCCTACCAAGCTGGATC